AGTAAAGGTGTGAACTACCAATGTCAGGCTAACACTTGTAATTCTAGCTACTTGAGATGCTGAGCTCTGAGAATCAGGGTTCAAAGCAAGCCTAGGCAGATAAATTGAAAAGGCTTATCCCTGATTAATCAGCAAATCCCAGAAGTATGGCTCAAGTGATAGAGCTCCAACTTTGAGGGGAAAAAGCCAAAGGAGAGTATGAGGTCCTGAGTTCAAATCCCAGTAATGCCTCCCCATCAAAACAAAGCAAAAACAAAACCAAAGCTCTTTGGACAGTAATGTTAAAAGATGATGTCAGAAATATTTATGTGTGCCTAGCCATTATATAGCACAATCCCATTTATGTGATTTTCTATGTAGAAGAGGACACAAAACCCAACACCATAGGGCTATATAAGTACAAAAATCATCTAGATGTATAGACAACAAACTGTCACCATAGTTACCATGAGAAGAGCAAGAGCCTGGTGGAACTGTTAAGAACCACCAGTCCCTTTAGGAATTTCTGCCCCACCTGCCTTATCCAATTTCCCCTTGCCCTGCTAGTAATAGAATCTCTGCTCTTGCTGGGTTTTACAATGGCACTTAACTATTCTACTGAAAAGGACACTTCCCTACTTTCCTTGAAACTAGGTGTGGCTTTTTAACAAAGCCAATGGCCAACAGAGTATGTGTTCAATTTTCTTGTGTTAGCTGTTTAAATTGCCTGGCCTCCAGTTTCTCTTTTCTAAAGTAAAGAAAGCCCTGGGTGTTAGATCTGGTCGTGTGGATAGGAAAATATCCATACCAATTTGAAAGGATTCACCGGGGGCCATGTTATGTGAAAAAGAACTAAAGTTGAAATAGCTTGAGCCAATGAAATTGTCATACCAGCTTAGCCTATAACCTAACTGATATAAAGGGACCCAAACATCTCCACCTACCCCAACTTATTTTATAAAAATGCTCACAGGTATCATTGGCTATCTTCATCTGTTTGAGCTACTATAACTATATCCCATGCATTGGGTGGCTTCACACATAGAAATTTATGTTTCATACTGAACAGAAAAAATTGACTCAAACTATGCATAGACCAGTAGGCCTCCAGAAGACAAGCTATATCACAGATAAACCCCAGGCCCATCTCAAAGCCGGGCTTGAGCAAGAGATAACCAGCTGTTTCTGCTTCTGAAAACAGGCTCTGGCCACAAGCTTCCTGCAGTGTCTTAACTGCTGCCCCTTTTCCTTCTTAAGCAACCCCCAACTCTTTAAAACCCACCTATTAGCAACAGCATAGCCATTGTACCCTGACCCTATAAAAGCTCTGTAACCCTGCTACTCGGGGCCCAGAATTTCAAGTGTGAGTTTGTCTGGATCTGCAGGGGTAAAATAAACCCTCACAGACAGACAATCTGTCTTTTCACCACATTTCTTCTACAATAAGTCCAACTTGCCGATTCTAGCTAATTGTGTTACTTCATGGAAAAGTAGCTAGCTCTTCCAGCTGTGCCAAGAGCTGCCTTCTCAGTCCTTCTGGTAGCTTTTCTTTGGTGTACTTCTGTGAAGGGAGTTCTGGTCTCATTTTCTCTTGAATGGACATCCATTTCTTCAGATTACTGCTGGTGGTATAATAAGAAATATAATTGATCTTTGTCTTTGTTTTCCTGTAATTTGCTGAGTGAAAGGGGTGCGAAAGTACCTATTGTTCTAATTTTTGGTGTGTGCCCTCCCCCAGCTGTGGTCATTAGACCCTCTACAAAATCTTTGGAATGTCCTGAATGATGGGTGGTGGCTCCTTGTCCTTTGTTATTCATATTAAGCTTCTTTTGGCAGAGTATATGCTAATGAGGTGACTTTTGGGGAAGGAGATCTGGACACCAAAAACAGCAAAGGGATTCTCAGAGTTGAAACTTGGAGCCCAGCCTCTGATCTCCTTGCAAGGGAAAGAGGCTGGAAATGGACTTACTCCCACTGGTCAGTGATTTAGTTAATCATGCCCAAGTAATGGAGCAGCCATAAAATCTCCCAATGGACAGGAGCTGGAGGGTTTCCAAGTTAGTGAACACATGAAGATGCTAGGAGCTTGGTATTCTTCCTCTACCCTGCAAAGGGCATAGAAGCTCCGCAGCATCCCCACACCTTGCCCTATTCCATTTGGCTATTACTCAGTTTTGTCCTTTGAAAGAAACCAGCAAATGTAAGTAAAATGTTTTCCTGACTTGTAGGTACTACTCTGGCAAGTTGTTGCACCTGAGAGGACGGGGGCTAGACAAAGGACTAGGGCTCACAATTCACACCTTCAGGCTTTAGGGACTAGCCCCTTAACTTGGAGGTCAGATAGTAACGAAACCTGGCATTCAGCCCCTGAACTGAATTGTTGGACATCAAGTTGATGTCTGCAGTCAAATGGAGAATTTCGTGGAGTGGAAACCCCACACATATGAGCTCAGAGGTTTTATGAGTATAGAAAGAGAATGTCTTCTTTCTGATGGTTTCACCTAATGAGCTCATTTCAACTTAATCACTCCCAAGGTAATTAAAGTGAAATACTTCTTTAAAAGCACAAATGGGTTTTGAAGTTCTCATGTTTTATGCTGAGTTGTACTAGGATATTTGGTTTAGTAATGATTTCTCATAACTGTAACCAATGTCACCTTTTGATGTGTGTGGTGTGTGTTTGCTGGTACTGGGTCTTGAACTCAGGGCCTTAGGTTTTTTCAATCAAGGCTGGCATTCTACCACCTGAGCCACAACGCCACTTTCTATAATGGCTAGTTAATTGGTGATAAGGTCTCAAGGAACTTTTTCTGCCCAGCTTTGCCTAAAACTGTGATCCTCAGCTCTCAGCCTCTTGAATAGCTGGAACTTACAGAAGTGACCCAATTGTGCCCAGCACATTGTTTGAACTCAGGGTCTGAGAACAGCTCTTCAAGGCTAGTGCTCTGACTTTTTGGTGACTCAACAGCCTTGGCTGGGAAGGTGGCTCAGTGGTAGAGCGCTTGCCTTGCATGCATGAGGCCCTGGGTTCACTTCCTCAGCACCACATAAGCAAAAAGAAAAAAAGCAGGAAGTGGCACTGTGGCTCAAGTGGTAGAGTGCTAACCTTGAGGTGAAGAGCTGAGGGACAGCACCCAGGCCCAGAGTTCAGGCCCCATGACCGGACCCCCGCCCCACCCCCAAAAAAAAGAGCCTCACACACTTGTCTTACCTGGGCTGGGTTTGAACCATGATTCTCAGATCTCAGCCTCCGGTATAGCTAGGATGATAAGTATAAACCACAGGGTTGGGTTTCTCTTAGTTTTATCAAAGCCTAGATCCACACTTCCACTTCTGGCTTTTTTAAAGGTAATTGGAGATAAACATCTGGCCAATTTTTCTGACCTGGGCTAGCTTCAAACCTTAATCCTTAGATTTCAGCCTTCGGAGTAGACAAGATTCAAGGCATGAGCTACAGAGCTGGCTTTGTCTTAGTTTTATCAGTCTTTCCTGACCCTGATCCTACTTGGAATTTAGGTCTGGCAACACTTTCCTGTACTGCAAAAAAAAAAAAAAAAAAAGGCATATATACTTTTATAGCAATGTCTTAGGGCTTGAACCCACCGCCCGGGCACTGTACCTTAAGCTCTTTTCCTCAAGGCTAGAGCTCTACCACATTGAGCCACAGTGTCACTTTCTAGTTGATTGGAGATAAAAATCTGACTTTCCAGCTTTCTACCCAGGCTGGCTTTGAACCCACGAGTCTCTGATCTGTCTCTTGAGTAGCTAGGATTACAGGCATGAGCCACCAGCATCGGCTCCCTGTGTGTATTTTTGAAGTTTCTCCCAAACCTGGCCAGTTTCTGTTTTAAAATGTGTAGGGGAAGGGAGGAAATGGGAAAACAAAAGGTACGAAATGCTTGGACAGCAGTATGGAGGTTTATTCTTAGGTCTTTTTATGATGTCATAGTGACAAAATAAAGACGTTTGTAACTACATATTCCTTGGAACAGGAGCTACTTTTATTCAATGAGAAATCCCAATGCTGACTTGAATATTTTAACCTCTTTCCATTAGGGAAATCCCTTTCCTCCTCATTCTTTACACCCATTCATTCATCATGGAGATGAAGAAATCCAGGCTTCACAATCCATGCTGCTTCTCCAAGTATCTCTTCCACACAAGATGTTTTGATTCCTTCTTTGCGCGCTTCATCCACCTTAGACTCTCCCCGTCTCCCCCACCACACCGACTCCCCTTACAAGGCTTCCAGCTCCAGTAATAACACCAGAGTTTTCAAAGCAGTTACCCTAATTAACAGCGTGGAGTAGACCAGGTGGGGCCCCGCCCCATGGGAGGAGCCAACACGGGGTGCCGAATTAAGGGCCTGCTGGTGAACAAATGAACCCTTCATCTCTTTAAAGAAGCTACACACGCGCTGCACATACACGCGCGCGCACACACACACGCACACACACACGCACGCACACACACACGCGCGCACACACGCACACACACACACACACAGAACCAGTCAGAGGCCGCGAGTCTCGGCATCCGGGGTGGGCGGGGCCAGGCCGGCACCGCCCCTTCTCCCAGCCACCCGCCGGCCCTTCGGAACGCCGCGGGCTTCAATAGGCTCCGCCCCTTCCCCAGGCGCGGCCGCTATTGGCCGGCGCTCTCCGGGCTGACGCCTCGGTTGCTGGGAGAGCGAAGCGGGGGCGGAGCCTGCGGTGGGTCGGGGGGCCGCAGAGAAAGGCTGCGAGGCGCGGGCGGGCTGGGCGGATTCGACGCGCGCCGCAGCGGTTGGCGAAGCGGACCCGGCGCAGCCTCCGCGGTGCCGGGAACGGTCCCGGCTGACAGATTCCCCCTTCTTCCGGCCGCGCCACTGGGGAGGCGGATCCCCGGGGCCTCTGGCGGCTTCCTCCTCTCCGCGGGTCCAGCGAGCGGCCTGGGAGGAGGAGGTCGTCGGGGGCGGCGGCGGCGGCGAGCGGGGACCGCGCTCCCCCCTTCCCCGGCGGCGGCGGCGGCGGGGCAGGACAATGGAGGTGGCTGTGGAGAAGGCAGCGGCGGCCGCGGCTCCGGCAGCGGCCGCCGGGGGGCCCTCGGCGGCCCCGAGCGGGGAAAACGAGGCCGAGAGCCGGCAGGGCCCGGACTCGGAGCGCGGCGGTGAGGCGGCCCCGCTCAACCTGTTGGACACTTGCGCCGTGTGTCACCAGAACATCCAGAGCCGGGCGCCCAAGCTGCTGCCCTGCCTGCACTCGTTCTGCAAGCGCTGCCTGCCCGCGCCCCAGCGCTACCTCATGCTGCCCGTGCCCATGCTGGGCTCGGCCGAGACCCCGCCGCCCCCGCCCGGCCCCGGCTCGCCGGTCAGCGGCTCCACGCCGTTCGCCACCCAAGGTGAGGACCGATCGCGGGCGCCGGGGAGGATGGGAAGGCGGGGCGGGAGCGGGGGAGCCCGGGAGGCGCCCGGGAGGCGGCGAGCGCCCTTGTGCGGCGCGACCCGCTGTCATGTCGCCCGGCGCCCGGGGTGCGCGGCGGGGGAGGGGAGGAGAGGGGCGGGGAGGGGAGGGAGGAGGGGACGGGGGAGGAGGAGGAGGAGGGTCTGTCGGCGGCGGGTGACACGGCCCGCGCGCTCCGCGGCGCGCACCGCCAACTTCCCTGGATGTCGCTGCTCGGGAGACGGGGATGCGCGGCCGCCCCGCGTTCCCTTCGGCGCCCAGGGTGCCCGGCCGCCCCCTCGGGCCGAGCTCCGACCGAGAGTCCTGGGTGCGTCGTCGCGGGTCGCGCGGGGGTCTTCGCCAACTGCATCCAATTAACCGCTGCCTCCCGCGAAGCTTTGTCCGGGTCCATCTGATCCTAATCAGCTGGCGTGGATACCTGCGTTATTCGAGCTGGAGCGGGCGGGCGGGAAGGGGGGGGGGGGACGGAATTAAGTGATGGGGACTTTCTTTGATGATCGATTGCAGATTGGATGACGTCTGTTTTCCTGCCCTGGATGTTTTGGTTCTTTTTACCTTGATGAGTTCCCAATCTCCTCTTTCCCCCTCCGCTGCGGACAAAGGAACCCGGCGCTGGGGTGTGTGTCTGCGTGTGTGTCTGTGTGTCTGTGTCTGCTCCTTTCCCCGATTTTATTTGGAATGAGACAGTAGAGGGTAAAAAGAAGTGGACCAGAGTGACTTTGGGGGCGGGGGGTGCAGTGTTCTCTTGGGTTTGTAGGTAATTGGCTGGAAGTTCCCGTCCTTTTTGTGTGTGTGGTGTTTATTACTAGATAATGAGACTTTTTGACAGGTTCTCACCGCTAACGGTAGCGGGCTCCAAGCATTTAAAGTTAAAAGCACTCCTAATTGTTTCTAGTAGAAAGAACACGTGAGGGTTTTCAGTTGTTAGTGCTGCAAATGTGTGAGCGTGGCCTTTCAAATGAGAGAGAAGTAACTGAGAAAGGGAAATCGTTTTGTTTTGTTTTGCTTTTGTTCTTTTGGAAATCCGGACTCCACCGTGTAGCCCTGGAAAGCCCATCCTCACGTTTTTGAGAAAGCGTCTCGTTTGTATCCAAACTGGAAAGCTAGGACTACAGGTGTGTGCCTCCACCCCGCCTGGAAATCCTGTCGTCCTCTTTTTTTTTTTTAGTAGTTTTACAAAGGGGTTTCAGTTCAACACGTGAGGTCACTGGGGCGTGAATTTAGGGCCTGGTCTTTTTCCGCACTTGAGCCACACCTTGCTCCACTATCCAGCATTTTGGTGGTTAATTGGAGATTTAAAAAAAAAATGTTTTTTGGACTTTCATGCTCTGGCTGTCTTCAAACCATGAAGGTTACAGCATCTTGAGTAGGATTACAGGCCTGAGCTACCAGCACCAAGTGTGAACATCATTTTTAACATAAAGCTTTTAAGGATCTAGTTATTTGAAATTACATGCTAATCATTAGGTCAAAGGATGTATGAATGTAATGGTTTGAATAGATGGTTTTTTTTAAATCAAAAATGCCTAATTGTTATTAAGGTGTTGTACCAGAGGGTCAGGTAAGGAGTACATTTCTTTTTGGGTGATTTTGCCCCTCCCTTTGCTTTCCCCCAGTTTCCCCCTCCCATCCCTGCCTTGCTTTTTGACTAGGCTGGCCTCCACTGCAACCTTATTGATCTCTCTCTCAAACGGCTGAAATTACAGGTGTAGAACTACTATGTCCAGCTAAATTCTAACACTCCCCCCCCCCACCCCGTTCTGGGTCTTGAACTCAGGGCCTGAGAGTTATCCATAAAGATTGTGGCTTTATCATCAGGAGTGATACTGATGTGGTCCCTCAAAGGAGTGGTCCCTCAAAGGGCAGAGATCTGTCTTGCCCATAAGTAGTTGTCTCTGAAGCAGAAAAGAATTTCAGGATAATTCGGGTAAGAATGGGAATAGTTGAGTTTTATTTACTGAGCAAGGTAGAAAGTAGAGAACACAAATCTTGGGACAAAGTACCAAGTGGCCACGGTGAAGCACACATGAAGTCCCAGCCACTTGGGAGAAGATAGTGTGTGGATATGAGTTTGACACTAGCCTGAACAAAACAAAAGGAAATACAAAAGAACTGTGGGCAAGGCTACAGTGGTAAAGTACTTTCTTGAAAAAAAAGATGAGCTGGGCCCTAGTGACTCATGCCTTTAATCCTAGCTACCCAAGAGACTGAGATCTGAGGATCGAGGTTCAAAGCTAGCCCGGACAGGAAAGTTCATAAGACCCTTATCTCTGATTAACCACTAGAAAACTGGAAGTGGCGCTGTGGAGTGCTAGCCTTGAGCTGAAGGGTTGAGGGACAGTGGCCAGGCCCAGAGTTCAAGCCCCACACCCAACAAAAAAAGAGAGAAAAAAGGAGATATAACAAATTTTACTTTCAGGGGTGTATATATACTAAAAGAGGGCAGGGAATTTCATTCTTATAGATAAAGACTTCTTTCTTTGGGGTACCTGGCACATTTCAGTCTTTTTTTTTTTTTTTTGGGTCCGGTTGTGGGGCCTGAACTCTGGGCCTGGGCGCGGTCCCTCAGCTCTTCAACTCAAGGCTAGCACTCTACCACTTGAGCCACAGCGCCACTTCCGGCTTTTTTCTTTTTTCTTTTGCCTATGTGGTGCTGAGGAATTGAACCCAGGGCCTCAGGCATGCAAGGCAAGCACTCTACCACTGAGCCACCTTCCCAGCCCCTCAGTCTTTTTTTTTTTTTTTTTTCATTTGTCTTGCTTGCTACAGAAATCAATATCAGCTTGCCCCAGAGACACTAAGTTTTACTACATCTAGGTCTTCGTAATATCTATGTCTGTCTCTCCATGGGCATGCACTTATGTGCCAGTCCTAGGGCTTGAACTCAGAGCCTGAGCACTGTCCCTGAGCTGCTTTTGCTCAAGGCTAGTGATCTATCACTTGAGCCACAGCTCCACTTTGACTCTTTTTTTGGTGATTTATTGGAGGTAAGAGTCTGACCAACTTTCCTGTCTGGGCTGACTTCAAATTTCGATCCTCAGATCTCAGCCTCCTTAATAACTAGGATTTCAGATATAAGCCACCAGCACCCAGCAGTTTCTCCTTTTGCAGACTATCTTAGTATCAAAGGAGTTATTCAACCCAAAGTTTCTCCTAATTGTATCATATGAAAGTCTCTAGCTATAGGAGACAATTTTCCATAAGTCTCTATTTCTTCTCCAGTAAGGTACTGACTGCTCTTTGTTTTTTCAACGACGTGTGAAGAACAGTATTGAAAGAAAGAGATAGCAGCTTTGACTACAGAAAATGATAGACATGCATATTGTCCAGTATAATAAAGATAATGTTTCCTGCGCCAAAGGATAGGCTTACTTCTTACCTATTATAAAAGATTAAATTTAGAGTTCCTTTCCTATACCAACCTATTGCAGGTGTCAAATAGCCCCTTTCATCTTGCTCTGGGGAACTGAGTCCCTGGGAATAAATACAAAAAATGTTGATACGTTGGTTTATACTGTTGCTCTAAGTAATAAATTGTCTATTGTTTCTAACCCTTGAGAGGTTGCTTTCTTTTCCCTCCCTCTCCCCTCTCCCCTCTCCCCTCCTTCCTTCCTTCTTTCCTTCCTTCCTTCCTTCCTTCCTTTTTCTTGTGCTGGTACTGGGGCTTGAACTCAGGGCCTCTTGCTTACATCTGGCACTCTATTACTTGAGCCATGCCTCCAATCCAGTATTTTACTGGCTAATTAGAGGTGGAATCTAGCAGACTTTCTGCCCAGGCTGGCTCAAACCTTGGCTCTGCAGATCTCAGCCCCATGAGTAGCTAAGCTTACAGTTGTGCACCACTGGTACCCAACTCTTAGGCTCAGTTTTGAGGCATTTGAAATTTCAGACTTTTTTTGTAATTCCAGTTTCCAAGTTTGTGTAATATTTTTTCTGTTGTGAGGCAGAGGTCAAAGGATCTTGAGGGTCAAGACCAGCCTGGTATATATAATAAGACCTGGTCAAAAAGAGAGAGGGAGAGGGTAAAGGAGGGAGGGAGGGAGGGAAAGCATTGGGAAGGGAAAGGAAGGGAAATGGGAAGAATTCACTTTGTCATGACCTTTCTTCTAGGCATTGTGGGTCATTTTCTAAATGGGCTAAGCAGATAATTGAGATGAACCACCATGAATCTGAGGGTAAAATATAGGAAATAGGGGAAATTAAAGAAGGGACAAAACTACTTAATTCCAGCAGATTTCATGTAAGATTCACAGGAAGGTATATATAGATACACTGTAAGCCAAACAAAACAGGTTTGCTTGCTTGTTTGATTTGGTGCCCGGGATCAAATTCTGGGGCTCACAGATCAAAGTGCACTACAACTAAGCTTCAATCCCCGCCAAAAATTGTTTTATGTATTTATTTTGAAACCAGACTCTCAAGGTTTGTATCTAATCTTAGCTTCTCAGAAGGCTGAAATCTGGAGGATTGTTGCTCAAGGCCAGCCTGGCGAGCAAAGAAGTTGATTAGATTCTATTAGCAAAATAACTATCAGAAAGCCAGGCTGAAGGTGTGACTGAAGTGGTAGAATGCCAGGATAGCAAGTGTGAGGCACTAAGTTCAAACCCCAGTACTGCCTTCTCCAAAAACAAAGCAGGTTTTTAAGGATGGGTGGAACATTTTATTTTTAGATGTCTTACTCCAGAAAACCAGATTGTACTAATCTGACAGTTTCACACTTCTAAAGTCTCTAGAGACTTTTCTGTCTGGGTTGTCTTCAGACGGAGATTTTCAGGTCTCAGCCTTCTGAGTAGCTAGGATTACATGTGTGAGACACCCTCCCAAGGCTCATACATGTGGAATATTAAGACCAAACTCAGTTACTAAATTACTAAATACCCAACATTGTCAATCAGATTTCCCTTTCTGTAAAATATTCTTGGATGCCTCTCCCTTTTA